CCGGGGGGGGCCTTCCGGGGGTTCGCCTCGTCCAGCCCTTTGGGCAGAGGCCGCCGGCCTTTCCGCCTGGGCCAGGGGGCCTCCTTCGCGGGAGGGGCCGGAGAAAGGGGGGGCCACCCCACCCACTGCTTGGAGCCCTCAGCTCGGAGCCCCTTCCTTTCAGAAGGTTCCCCCCTCCCCCCCCAGGGAGAAGGAGGGGGGTGTTGCCCTTTTTGTGCAGCAGGGAGGCTGTTGCTCCCCTTCTCTCCCCCCCCAATCTGGGTCATCCTCTTTAGTAGCCCCCCCAACCCCTGGGGGGGGGTCCTGTCTGAATTTGGCCCCTGCAAGTGCCTGGGAGTTTCTTCCAGATTGGTTCTCTTAAGAACTTTGCCCCCCCCCCCATATTTCTGTATAAACCTGATAGAATTAAGGTGAGGGTTTTTGGGTTTTTTTCCTGGCGTTGCCCCATGTGGGGGGGGCAGGACAGGTGGGCCCCGTAGACTCTAGAGGGAGGGGAGGGCTCGTTAGGCCCCTCGTCACATTGGAGAAGACGCCGCGGCCCGCTTTTCCGGACGCAGGTGCACGGACTGGCACAGCGGTCTGTGGTTCGGGGGTGTGGGGGGGGTCTGGGCTTTTTCTTGCCCTGTGGGTGGTACTGGCCAGTTTCTAATGACGCTACAAAGGATTAATTTTGCAGTTTACAAAAAAAAGGGAAGCTCATTGTCCCGTGGAATTACTCTGAATACCAAAGGAGAGACATATGTCAGTTGGGAGCCCCGACTGTCTGTGATGCCTTAAGCTGACCTGTGGAAGTTTTGCTTGGCAGCCAGGGTGGGACGAGGAGCACCTCTTCGGTTTTTCTGCAGCACCTCAAATGTAACCCTGTGTTCAGTAGAATGTACCCCCCCCCCCAAGTAAGTGGATATCAGCCTAGGTAACGTCTGTCTGTCTGCCTCCTTCCCCCCTGGCACCCTGGAATCTAAGGGCAGGAAATGGCCCTAGGCAGCAGGGCAGAGATATTTTTTTGGGGGGGGGGTGTGCTGATGTAAGGCTAAAGTTCTGTTTGATTCCAAATACGTGTGTTGCGATCTGCGCTGTCACGACAGCTTTCTCCTTCCTTTGAAGCAGAGAGAAGTTCTCATCATTTGGCGTCTTCCCATAATTATGGGGAAGAAGACAGCCCTGTTTGCAGTTTTTCTCTTCCTGACTCCCAGGTAGCGCAGAATAACGTGTGGAGAGGAAGGTGCCTTTTTGCTGAACTCTAAGCGTGTTTTGCACTTCAGGCAGCCTTAAAATTGGGCTTTGACCACTAGATGATAACCTCCATCACAGTCTAGAGACTGGGAACCAATGGCCTCTTCTTTGGTGGATCTTTTTATTTGTTTGTTTGTTTGTTTGTTTGATTTATATCCCGCCCATCTAGTATATTCTACCACTCTGGGCGGCTTACAGAATATCAAAACAATTAAAAAAAACATAAAAACATTAGCATACAACAATAACAAATAGTGCAGGAATAAATAAATAATAAATAGCAAAGCAAAAGAAATCAGTAGTTGACAGGAGGGAAGGCCTGGATGTACATCCATGTTTTTGGCTGGCATTTGAAAGTACCCAGCGTTGGGGCCTCTTTTGAAGTCCAAGCAGTCTCCCTGATGGTCTGGGGCCTTCGGGCGAGCTTTCCTGCAGGAGTTTCACAAATTGCTACCTGGGTGTGTGTTTAATTTAGGTGTGACCAGTTATTTTTTTAAGACGCTTGTGCATGTCTTTTTAAATATAAACAACAATATTTTGAGATATTTTATTTTAATTTATATTATTTTTTTTTTCTGGCAAAGCTGAAAATACCGTCATGTTGCTCCTTTAAATCATCTGTGTGCTTTTGAATGCACAACTCCTGTGTTGGAGTAAACCTGCTGTTTACACCTACCCAAATGATGATGTGATGGAGATCAAGTTTTACTCCATGCATGGTGTGAAGTGGGTTGTTGAATTTGCTATTTGTATGTTTTGTCCTGTATAGAAAAATCAAGTCCAATTTTTTTCAAAACCCTTTGCTTGTTTTGTATTACCCTGTTTCCCCTAAAATAAGCCCTAACCTGAAAATAAGCCCTAGTATGATTTTTCAGGATGCCCATAATATAAGCCCTGCCCCCAAAATAAGGCCCAGTTAAGTGAAACCCTGCCCTCCACCACTGTGCAGCAACCAGAATAAGATGACATGACTGCATTTGAATAAACTTAGTTTGTTATACAATAAAACACCTCCTGAAAATAAGCCCAAATGCGTTTTTGGAGCAAAAATTAATATAAGGCCCTGTTTTATTTTCAGAGAAACAGGGTACATGTTTAAAGTATGTGTGTGTTTAAATAAATAATAAATAATAATAATAATGAGCACTATCAAGAAGATCTAGCCATCAGCTTTATTGCCACTGCTTTCAACGTGATTTTTCCTGGTGTAGCATCACATACCATTTGCCATAAGTTTGTTATTGGTATAGGAAATGCAATTATATTCACAGGCTGGCAGGTTTATGTCTTGTCAGATCAATGAGTCAATCTTTAGTTTGGCTATATCAGCAAATAAATGCTGTAAACTGGACATATAAATCACTGAGTCAGAGAGATACTGGAAACAGCTAGGTTACGGCAGAACTAGAAATAGGTGGGAGGAAAGTATGCTATTTGCAGCCTATGGGAGCAAAATACTGTTGAATTGCATGGGTTCGAACAGATTGCTTTCAATAAATAAATAAATATTCCCAAAAATAAATATTCAATGAATGAATAAATAGATATTTAATGAATAAATATTCAATGAATACAGTGCCCTTGGCCATCCAGAACTCCACAGGTTCCACACGGAAGCAGTCAAAGTGATCTGCTTACCCCCAAACACAGCATCTCGAATTCAGCCTCTAGATCAGGGAGTCATAAGGCCCTTTAAGGCTCATTCCACGTTGGTGCTGTAGGCAAAGGGTTGTCAACGCTGTGGGAGAGAACCTTGACAGAGAGAACTGTTCTCTCTCTCCCTCCCTCTCTCTCTGTGTTTATGTTTTGTACTTACGTTTTTGGGAGCATAAGAGTTATACATGAATTTTGAACCACACTAGAGTCTGGCGCCCCAGCCGGAGGATTCTAAAGGGAAATGTGTAGAATTATTCCAGCATCCAACAGCATGCTGCGTTAATCCTATATATGAACTAAGCCTTCACAATTATGTTGTTGTCTAAATACTTAATTATTTTAATCCAACAGTGCCATTTTTTTGCCTAGAAAAGCTTTATTACTACCTTATCAGAATTCTGTCATGTGACAGCAACAGGGTACAGTGAAAGCAGAAGTGGGTTTCTGTGAAAATCCTGCCATAATAAATCTGCAAAAGCATGAGAGGGCACAGCAGAAAGAGGCCTGGCTCTCTGCCATTCAGCCTAGGCATCACCAGCAATGAGAAAGTTTTGTACGTTGACAAGTCTAAAGCGGCAGTTTCTTTTCGGAGGCCTTCCTCCAAAAATACGAAACAGATTGGCAGCTATATTTGGGTTGAGAGCACTTCATTTGAGGAGGAAACGAGATCAGCCTGTGCAGGTCCTTCTGTATTTCTGAAAGCTTCATCTAGCTCAGCGAATTAGCTTCTGGGGAATGGATTGGGTAATGCACGTTGGATCATGAGAACCCCGAACATTTCTTTGGAATTTTTCATCCAAGAAGTGTTCTCTTAAAAGGAACCGTCTGGTGGTTTATCTGTCACAGAGCAAGAAGGATAGCCCGTGAGTCTTTGCACAGGAGCATTTAGTATATGGATATCCGAGGGCTCTGAACACAAAGGCTAGTCTCCACCCAAGCAGAGTCAAGGGCAGCCGGGGTCCCCTTGACATCCATGGTTCTGTTGCTCTGGCAGCAGGGCTGAAGTCTGATTTACCCCTGAAGAGCCTTTTTTGGGGGCAGCAGCTGAGCAGAAAAAGGTGAGTTTCCCTGTGGCTTTGGCTGGTCGGTGCTCAGCAAAAGATCGCCATCCGCCAGCTCCTTATCCCATGGCAGTGAAGCAACGCCAAGGGCAACGTGCTGGTTTTGGCTGCTTCTGTGTTCGAGTTGGAAGCCACCCAGCAGTGGGAATCAGCTGAGAGGGACCTCACGGTCCTTTGGGGAGACTCCGCCCGTTCCCCCACCCCGCCTCTGCCCGTGTCTGCCCATGGGATAGGATGGGAAAGTGTGCACGTCCTGACAAGCAGTGGAGATGGTTTTCCTGCCTGCTGGTTTTACACCATAGTAGGGAAAACCAGGGCCAGTGAAGCAGCCTGTCTGGGGGCCTCTTGGATTTTCAGAAGGCTCTGAGTGCCTGGCCTTGTCTTGTGGAGGTTTCCTCTATGTGCCTTCTTAAGAAGGAGCGCTCTTAAGTACTCTTGACTTACATGCAGCTTAAAGGGAAGCCCGTTTGCTTTGGGGTGTGGCAGAAAAGGAGCAGATAAATGCTGAATAATGTGAAATCTGAAAGCCACCCCACCCCGCCCTGGACTGCATGAATCAGCCCCTTGCAGACTTCTCTGTAGAGGGACTCCGAGGGAGTCAGCAGCGGAGCGGGTGTGCCTAGTAGTCCTTCGGCTGTGCTCCCCGAGGGCGGTCTTGCATATCCCTCTATGGAGCAGAAGCCCCCCCCTCTTTTTTTGGTCAATCTTTTCTGCTGGCCCTGTGTGTTAGGGATAGCCGTGAGGGAGGGGGACCTGCTGCAGCCCTCCTGGGCCAGGCAGCCACAGGCAAGGGAGGGATCCGCCCTCATCGCCCATCATGGCCCTCATCAATATTTCTCATGGGGGGCAACTCCAGTGTACTGTGGAGTTGCAGCACAGAGTCGAACTTAATGGTCAGATAAGCATCGTTAAAGAAGTGGAAGCTTGTAGTCAGGCTGCCAGCCCCCCCTTCCCCCCTCGCCACTGCCATTGCCGGGGGGGGGGCTACTCTGGGCCAAGAGAAGTGACGAAGGGGTGCCGGTGTGTGAGCCGTGCTGGGACTCCTTCTTGAAAGCAGATGCTTCAGTGGAACCTGCAAAGCAGGCCGAGGCCTCTTCTAACATGAATGCAGGAGTCCCTCACCTCACGTTCACACCAGCTGTAGTGCTAAGGCAAGACATGCCACTTCTCCGAAAAGGATCCTGTTTCCTATACCAGGTGCTGCTTTACAAGGCAAGGGAGGCAGGGTGAGGATGCGTCTCCCTTTGGCCTGTTCCGTTCCTTCCTGCATCTGGCCTTGCCCGGGGAGTCTCGGTCCTCGCCATCAACTGTCCCCGGATTCTTTTAACTGAGGAGGTTCGCAAATGAGTCGGGGTCCTCCTGCTTGGGTGGGAAGCATGCCACTCCGTCGCCGCCCTTCCAAAGCAGAACGAAATGTGCCCTGTAGAAGGGACCCCCCCCCCAAAAAAAATGTCTTCTGCCTTCATTGGGAGATTGTGAGTCCAGAGTCCTCATTTGTTCTCAGGTCTGTGAAATGAAGGTTATTTTGCAGGGGGGGGGGCAACTTGCATACCAGTAAAATACGACAAATGGGTTTGGACTGGGAGAAGCTGTCGACGGAGCCCAGGCATTCTCATTACCTTGAAAGCTCCGGGAGGGAGGGAGGAAGCGTAAGCAGCTCCGTACAAACAAAGTCTCCTGTAAGGGATGCTAGCAAACATATCTTGGCTCTCGGGGCTGAAGTCTGTTTCTGGGTCTCAGCTGCTTAAAGAGGTTTCACAGAACTGTAGAGTGATCTGGAAGGCACCCCAAAGGTAACCCTGTGATGGAGGAGGAGGAAACCCACGGCTGACGCATCCCTGGCAGGTGGTCCTCCAACCTCTGCCTCAAAGAAAGTCCTGATGAAGGACAGGCCACCTCTGGGTTTGGGAAGGGTTGGCCAGAAATAAGAGCCGCCGAGGGAGAACAGGATACGGAGGCAGACTTCATATCCTGCCACCAAAGTCTTAGCACTTTAAGAAAAGAAAGAAAAGAAAGCCTTAGATGAGCGTTCGATTTCACATCCTTGTGCAGACGGAGGAATGCCAGTGGCTCTGCTACGGATCTGCTCTGCCGAAGAAGCCGTGGTGGTTTCCCGGGCGGGAGGGGACGTGGGGGCCATCGTTTGAGATGATAGGAGGGCCCTTGAGGCTGGCCCCTGAATGTGAATGGACGGAGAGAACAAAATATTTACTGATGCCAGGAGCGATGTTTTTGGATTTCAGCATTTGATGACTATCACAAGACCCGGGCTTTTGCCATTCCGTCTAGGGTCACGGAAAGGAAACACTCTTGCTCTTTGTACAGAGGAAGACGCCGGCTAAAGTTTTGGGGAGAGGCCCGACAATGAAGGGATTCAGGGAGCTGGCCCTGGCCGTCACACGCCAGCCTCTGCTGGGGCTTTGTGGCTTGTTTTGAGGGTTGGTTTGAGAAGTGGGTGATATCAGACGCGCTGGGAGATGCCTGCCTGAAGTGCGCGGCAGATCTGTGGCCATCGAGGAGCATGGAGGACTCGTTGCTCAAAAAGGCGTCCGCAGTGGCGGCTCAAATCACCGAGGGCGTCCACCAGCCAAAATACAGGACAAGGCTAGACAATTTGGACTATATGTATGTTAAAGTAAGTGCTGGGATTTTGTACCTTTACCCCTTTCGTAGGCATGGTGTGCTTTGTGACTCCTGGCCCCTACCAGCATGGCAGTCCTGTGCCAAGTCACACGAAACAACTGGCTGGTTTCAGCTGCAGGCAGAGGCGTGGTTGCTCACCAAAAGGTCTTCCACGTTATCTGATGTGTTCGGTATTTATAGTGTAGGATTCAGTGGCCTGAGTGAGGTTCTCAAATGATGGTCGGTAATCTTTGAGGGAAACCGCCTGGTGTGTTTTCCCCTGCAGACAGTGTTGTTCCTGCTGGTGCAGTTGTCATTTTTGTGGTTTTGGAGCAAGGCTGTGCCGTAGGGTTGTCAGCATGCCACCCGTCTAAACCAAATTGGTCGTACAATACAGAGGTATCAAGGTCGAGTTTCATTCTGTCAGATGGTGACTTCTTGGGGGTCGTAGTGTAAGAGGACAACCCGGAGACGAGAGATAGCAATGCGACCCTCTGCTTGTCTACTCAGAAGTAAGCTGTCAAGGTGTGAAGGCAATGGCTGTCCCTTTTCTAAAACTGTTACAGAGAGTCGGTGTTGTGTGGGAGCCATAAGCAATAGGCAGGCTGGAGTAATACAGTTCGTTAAACCTGTGAACGGACGAGCAGGCTACAGCCACTGTCTTCTGCTTGTGTGGGCCGTTGTGAGACAGTGGCAACATTTCCTTCACTTCCTCCTTCCTTTTCCCTGTTAGAATTCATGCAGTTCCACGAGAGAGAGAGAGAGAGAGACTGAAAGAGAGAGAGTTCCTCTCTAGCTTCCTCTTCTTGCAAACGAAGGAAGCATCATGGCTGAATGTCACAGTCTAAGGCTCCAGAGTTACCCTTTGGTGTAGGCCAGTTAGTAGTCCTTGCCATGTAAGGGGAAGAAGCAAAGGTGGGGCACGGAGAAGGCAGTGTTCAGCAAGACGAACATCCCGCAACCCAAACCCTCCATTCTGTTGTTACTGTTTTTTGAAGGCCTCCTTTGTTCGTAGTGGCCCCAAAAAAGCTAACCCTGGAGGGGGATGCCGTGGGTGGTGTGGCTTGGGGCCGAGAATCTCTTCTTCTGTCTCTTATTCCAGAGAGATCCAGAGGAGGTGGTCGTAATGGACTTCTTAGGGGAGCCACTTGCTACCCTCCTGAGTTCCTGAAAGAGCAGGGCTTCTGCTGGGTGGGGTGGGGGGGGCAGAGGAGAAGCGGCAGGAGGGCCTGAACAGTCGCTGGGCGTACGTCTGCTCCCGAGGACTGCGTCGACCTTTTCAAGAAGTGAACGAGATGTTTTGTTTCTCAAGCAGCCTTATTGGTATACATAGGAAGCAAGAAAGGAAAACGGGAGCGATCGTGGCCTGGTGGGTTGGATGTGTTTCTTTTCTTGGATATAAAGAGCCTCTTTTGGCTGAAAGGAGACCCCTTTCTCAGGGAGGAGGAAGGGAATCTGGTGGATCCAGCCCGCTGAAAGAACGCTGAGCCATTGAGCCATCCGTGGCTGACTCAACAGATGGACATCTGATGGGGCCAGGCCGCTTACCGAACACCACTGAATGTTGTTGGGGCAGTCTGATAAAACTTTGTTTATAGTTGGAATTCAGGTGATTAACGAGTCTGGTCTGCATTCTGCAGTCAATAAATGCCCTCTTGTCTTCATTTTGTGTGCTCAGAATGGGCATACATCCTCACAAGCGGCCGCCCTTCGTCCCACTGGATGCCCTCCTCATCCCTCACCGGGGTGTACAATGCTGACAGGTAGCTGCTCAAGATGCTTGGGCTGCTCTTGAGTGTTGTGATGGGGCTGAAAAAGTCCCCCAATGTATTTCCTTCCAAGAGTCCACTTTGGAAAGGCCTCACAAAAACGAGCTTAATTCTAGCGGCCGAGAGCGCCTTGAAGAGGTGGAAGCCTCCAGCGCGTCTTGTGATGCCCGTGTTTTGGTGGTTGAGACGGTCTGATGATTTGTCCATGTGATCTTGGGGGAGAGCAGAGAGTCCGAGAGGATGCTTGCCCTTGTGTGTTCTTGCTCTTCTTAGGAGAGAGACAGGGATCCGCGGGTGCGTTTTCTTTAAAGGGATGAGAGTCTGAAAGTGTGTGAAGGGGGAACATTTCCAGGGACCTTTTCCCTGTGTATCGTTCTGTCCAGCCGTTTAGTGGCTAGGAGGTGAAAATCACAGGTGCTTTTTAGTAGCAGTTTGGGAGAAACCTTTTGACTTGTGAAAAACCTCCTTCTTGTGAGATTTCCTTGCAAGATTGTGTCATTCCTGCATAATAGCTCAGCTGTAGAAGTGGTCTCGAGGGCCTCTTTGCACTGTTAATCTTGCGTGCCTTATGTTCTGCTTTATGAAACTCCTTCCACAACCCTACCTTCTATTTTTGTAAATGGCAGAGTGGTTTTTTTTTGGGGGGGGGCTTGTCTCATTTTGCTTTGCTTTGTTTTCTTTTCGGGAAGGGCTGTTGCTTTATTCTGTGTTCTAAACCAGATTTAAGCTCTGCAGGGCAGCTGCGGTGCTTCTCAGCCACTATTTGTTGAGGATTTCAACCTCTTAAGCCTAGGTTTCAAAGCATACCCTTGGATGTCTCTGCTTTGACATCCACAGATCTGCCACAGGGCATTGATCTCTAGGCACACTCAGGATGCAAAGCCAGACTGAGAGGATCTAAACAGGAACTTCACATCTGTCAACTCATGGTCTGAAACAGGGACAGGGTTCTTGGCTTGCATGTTGATTGATTGATTGATTGATTGCATTGTAAAGGCACATACCAAGACAGATATAGGGTGAAATTGTAGGGGGAGGCACCCCGTGAATTCGGATTGCAGAGGCTAAAATACAATTGATTGATTGATTGATTGCATTGCATTGTAAAGGCACGTACCAAGACAGGTATAGGGTGAAATTGTAGGGGGAGGTATATATTGTAGGGGGAGGCACCCCGTGAATTTGGATTGCAGAGGCTAAAATACGTTCTTTTGTTCCTTTTTGTGATAAACATGTTGCTCTTAGAACACCCCAATAGGCATAAACTGATCTCTCTCTCTATGTTTGTGTGTGTGTGTGTGTGTGTGTGTGTGAGAGAGAGAGAGAGAGAGAAAGAGAGATTTACAGCTAAGAAGTAAGTCTGCTGCTCATTCTGTGAATTTCCAGTTCAACGACTGCCTGTTCTTTTGAAGAATGGGGCAACTGCACATCCAGATTAGACACTTCAAAGGAGAAGCACCAGGACACTCCAGATCTCCTCTAGTCGTGGCTTTGGTGGAATCCTCCACGTGAGAACGTGGGAAAGTGTTCTGCTGGCCTAGTTCCCCATGAGAAAGCCATGGAGTCCCACTTTCCTACTAGGGGTGTCCATTCCGTTTCAAGATCATCAGACTTTAGGGATGAGAGAGTGGCTTTGGTGGCTTTTGTTTTGCACCCCAAGGGGCCCCTTCCTGCCCCCAGGCCTGTCAGTCTGCCCCCCCCCCCACACAAAGTATTCGAAAGGAGCTTTGGGAGGCCGTTTGAGGCAGGGCGTAGAAGAAAACAAGAGGGAACTGCTGGAGGAAAGCTGAGAATGTGATTGTCTTGCTGTCAGTCCAAGCTCATGTGGTTGTTTTTTGTAGTATGCAAGGATTTGGATCCCCGATTCGGATGTGGTCTGGAGGTCGGCCGAACTGGTGAAAGATTATAAGCCGGGAGACAAAGTGCTCCATGTTCAACTGGAGGATGGCAAGGTAACGTGGACTCTTCCCTTACCCTTCATTGTAACCCTGGTAAAAACGTTTGGACTTCAGTACCCAGGGTTGACTCTTTCCTGCTAGGATCCTTTGCCTCCTCTTCATTGACAGGAATGTTTAAATTCTGCCTGCGAAAGAAAGTTCTTGAGGCGGCTTTCAGTATTCCTAAAACAAATGCAATCAGCACTCTGTGGGTACCCAGCCATCTCTGTCTGTTTGCAGACGGTATAGCGCCGTGTGTCATGTTCTGGTGTATGTAAGCCTTCCTTTATCTCAGCTGCTGCTACACTATGGAAAGGATGCACGCGATGGATCTAGAAACACGGCTTTCGTTTATCTGCTCCCATTTAATTCCCAGGATCTGCAATATAGCCTCGATCCCAAGACTAAGGAGCTGCCGCCCTTGCGAAACCCCGACATACTTGTGGGGGAAAATGACCTGACAGCGCTCAGCTACCTCCACGAGCCTGCTGTTCTGCATAACCTCAAAGTTCGGTTTATAGACTCGAAGCTCATTTATACCTACTGCGGTGAGCACAGAACCAGCCTGCCTTTTTCTGCTGCCTGTGTCAG